CTCTCTTGGGGGAAAGAACTGGAAGAGAGAGAGAGAGAGAGAGAGAGAGAGAGAGAGAGAGAGAGAGAGAGAGAGAGAGAGAGAGAGAGATCAAGGCTGAATTTTAGGGTGGCGAGGTCAGCTGTGACCTGAGGATGCTGAGGGACACAGGGGAGCTCAGAGGAGGCTGGGAGGGAGGCAGGCTCAGACACCTCACGGGTCAGGAGCGAGTGCTCTGATGGGAGCACTCTCATGACAATGACAGCCTAGAAGCCCTGCAAATTTAGTTCTGTCTTCCTGATGTTTGGCTCCGTGTTGAGTGCCACTCCTGGCTGAGATCCCCCAGATCTCTGCTCCATGGTTGAGAATTGGCTGAGCCTGCTCCAGCTCGGGGCTATAGAATGTTCTGGAGTGCTTTCAGCACTGCCTGAATTCCCCCGAACCCTTGAATTCAGGGATCCATCCCAGCTCAGGTAGAGACTGAGTCTCGTAACAAAGCACTCGCCCTTTCCCCTCCTGCATCCTGTCATCCTTCTGTGGCTCCAAGGTCCCTGTCCCTGCACCCCTGGGGCAATATGCTGCTGGGGACCCGGGGAGGGGCTTCAGCCTGGTTGAGGTGGGGAAGAAGCCTGGCAGCCTGTGGGGAGCAGGTTCCACACGGGTCCCTGAGCCCCACAATCAGGGACCTGGTTGTTCCCCTGTCACTGCCATGGTGGGACTCACAGTCACCCACCCCCACCATGGGTGTCAGATGCAGACCAGAGAGAGGCCTCCTGGCTGCCAGGTCTTGCTCCTCCAGCCCAGGGAGGGCTTAAGAGGCAGCTTGGTTTGCATGAGGATGTGTGTGTGTCTGTATGTGTGTGTCTATGTGTATCTATATCTATGTATGTGTCTGTGTGCAGTCTGTATACGTCTGTGTATGTCTCTGTGTGTGTCTCTGTATGTGTGTGTATGTCTGTGTGCCTCTGTGTGTCTGTGTGTATCTCTGTGTGTGTATCTATATGTGTATATCTGTGTGTCTGTGTGTCTCTGTGTGTGTCTCTATGTGTGTTTCTGTGTGTGTGTCTGTGTGTTGTGTGTCTGTGTATGTATCTGTGTGTCTCTTCTCTGTATGTGTCTCTATGTGTGTGTCTGTATGTGTATGTCTGTGTGTCTGTGTGTCTCTGTGTGTGTGTCTGTGTGTTGGGGGGAAGTGATGGACTATTCTCTCCTTTTGTTTGAGTTTACCCTGCGTTTCTTACCTTCTGAGTTTTCTTATTATTTTTCCTCTTGTCACACTTCACTGAAATCCTGCAGAAGCTAATATTACTTTCCCAGAGTATCAGTGGCTGTGGCCTATCAAACACTTAATACTGTGGCATCTTTCTGGCCAATGAGCAAAATCACCTTAAAACTGCTTTGTGGGGGAAAGATTCCAGCCCCCTCCAGTGGTCCTCCCCCCGCCCCCCGTGTCTTTCACCCCCTTTCATGGTGGAGTTTTTGTTGTTTTGGTTTTGGGCCACACCCATTGGCGCTCAGGGCATACTCCTGGCTCTGTGCTCAGTCAGTGCTCGTCAGACTGAGGTGCTGGAAATTAAACTCGGGTTGGCTGTGTTCAAGGCAAGTGCCCACCCACTTTTCTGCCACTCTGGCACCTGTAATGGGGTCTTTCCAAGCAAATCTCATGCCTAAAAAGGAAACAAGTGAAGAGGAAAAGTGTCTGCCAAGAGGCAGGGGAGCAGGAAGGAGACTGAGCACATTGGTGGAGGGATGTGAACACCGGTGAAGAGAGGGTACGCGGATATTGTGTGACTGAAATTCAATCATGAACAACTTTGTGGCTTTGTGTCTCATGGTGATGTAATAAAACAATTAACAACAACGGAAAAGCAAATTTCAGAGGTGCCTTCCTCTTGTAAGTAAATACTTGAAAAAAATACCTTTGCTGGGAGAGAATTCCAGAAGTCTCAACCTGGGCCCTGCACACCTCCTCACATCACCCCCTAAAGTGAACAATGGAGTCTCTGAGTCAATATTAAAATAAGATGGACACACAGATTGATTTCACAGGAGTACCGGATTGGGGTATAAGAGTGCTGGGAGCCCAGGAACACGCTGGCAGACCTTGGCCTGCTGGTACCAGGTGTGGGACTTGGGTCTCACATATGCAAAAACAGTGGTTAGGGCATAGACCCAGCATGTCCGCGACCCAAGTGTATGTACAGAAGAGGGTGTGGAATATTGGACAGTCCATCAGGGTGCATGGAACTGTGTGTACTTTGTCTTCTGAGCCTTGGTGTCCCGATGTGTACAGTGGGGACAGTCTTTTCTACCAGGTCGATTCTGGAAGAAATGTTGGAAAGCACCAATACGATGCTCAGGTGGATGGTTAGAAACATGAAGACTAATGAAGCATCATTTTTGTCATTACCTGGGCTCGGGTCACTCGGGTCACTGGCTTGCCTCTGTCATCTGTCTGTCCTGACAGTGGCCTCTGCAGCCACCAGCCTTGCTGCTCTCACTGCAGTGTCTATGCTTCGGGCGCAGCTGGAGCGTGTCTGTCCTGCCCAATGATGGTCCATGGGGAGGGCACCCTGGGGCTTCTGTCGAACCCTCTGCTCTAGCCTCACACTGTGTCCTGGCAGGCCATAGTGTTCTCAGAATTGCTGTTGTCTGCAGGGACGGTGGCTGCTGGGGTGGAGGCCTTGGGGCCCCAGGCTCTGACCTGACATTTCTCCCTGTCTTCACTGCCCTGCGTCCAGGGCCGGCTGGCATGGGGAGGGCTGGGAGCTCCCTGGGCCCTCAAGCCGATCACCCAGCAAATGGCCAAGCAGGGTCCTGAGCCAAGAGGAAGGGTTGGGTTGAGATGACCATTCAGTGTTTGGGACCGGGTGAGGGTCTGTGTCTGTAAGGACACGTATCAGCTTGTCTTGTGTGGGATTGATGTGTTGGACCATGGTGAGGACTTGACTGGGGGGAGTTGGGGGAGGGGGTGTCTGGGTGGCCTGTTCCTGCATGTGCACACTGGGACCGGCTGTTCCTGGGCTTGCACCTTCAGGGGTCTTTGTGCTCTTGACCTGAGACTTGCAGACTCTGGGCTGGCTCCTGGTGATCCCGGTTGCCATCACCACAGTAGACCATGCTAAATGCTTCCGGCTCTTGAATCCCCCTCATGGCTTCAGAGTCCCTTGACTGTCACCATCCCGGGAGTGAGGATCATGTGGGTTTTGTTCATGAGGGTCCTTGGGCCATCCCTGGCATGCCCGAGGCCCTCAGTCAGTGAACACGGCTGAAGAAAGGAAAGATGAGTAGAGGGGACAGTCCACTGTGCCCCCCCCCACTCTGCTTCCTGGAGACACCCCCGGGGGGGGGCAGGAAAATAGAGCAGCCAGTTCAAGGAGGGCAGGGTGGGAAGGGAGTGTGTGTGTGTATGTGTGTGTGTGTGTGTGTCTGAGAATGTGTGAATGTGTATGCTCATGAGTCAACATGAGAGTGTGTGAGGTGTATGTGTGCATGACATGTGTGGTGTGTGAGAGATGTATGTGTGTGTAATGTGTGTGAGTTTTATGTGTGCTCTGTGTGTGATGTGGTGGTGGTGTGTGAGATGTATACGGTATATGTGGTATATGAGAGTTATATGTGTGTGATGTGTGTGAGATGTATGCGGTGTGTGTCATGTATGAGGGAGGTGTGTGTTTGTGATGTGTGTGAGGTTTGTAGTGTGTGTGAAAGGTATATGGTGTGTGTGGTATATGAGAGAGGTATGTGTGAGTGATGTGTGTAGGGTGTATGTGTATGATGTATGTGGTGTGTGAAAGGTATATGTGTGTATGATGTGTGCGAGATGTATACAGTATGTGTGGTGTATGAGAGAGGTGTGTGTGATGTGTGTGAGTTGTGTCGTGTGTGTGAGATGTACACGGTGTGTGGGGTGTATGAGGGAGGTGTGTGTGAGGTGTGTGTTCTGTGTGAAAGGTATATGGAGTGTGTGGTGTATGAGAGAGGTGTGTGTGAGTGATGTGTGTAGGTGCATGTTTTTGATGTATGTGGTGTGTGGTGTGTGTGAGATGTATATTATGTATGGGGTGTGTGGAAGGTATATGTGTGTGTGTGATGTTTGTGAGAGATGTATATGGTATGTGCTGTATAAGGGAGGTGTGTGTGTGTGTGATGTGTGTGATATGTGTGGTGTGTGTGAAAGGTATACGGTGTGTGTGGTGTAAGAGGGGTGTGTTGTGTGTGAGATGTAAATGATGTGTGTGGTGTGTGAGAGGTCATGTGAGTGATGTGTGTAGGGTGTATGTGTGTGGTGTGTGAGGTATATGTGTGTGTGAGGTGTCCGGGCACTGAGGGCTTTACCTGGAGGCAGGACAGTGCCCGGCTGGCCTGCTCCCTTCAGCAGCATCTCTGAAGCCAGTGTGAGCCAGACCCCAGTGAGGTCACCCCGGAGAGAGGGATGGGCTGGTCCCCACTGTCTTTCTCCTTCCCTGACCCATTTTCTGCGCCTACCTGCCCACTGGTGTGTGTTTTCTGGGGTGAGGGGCTGGGAAGGGGGGTGTGGAAGTGAGTGCTTGATGCCATCTCCTTCCTTGGCAGCTACCCTCGCCCCTCCCCCTCTCCCTGCTCAGCCTGGCCAGCCTTAGGGCTTCTCATTCTCACTCTGCCCCCTAGTGATAGCCGTGGTGGAATGGCGCTGACAGGGTAACCCTGTGGGAGCAGAACCTGCCACTTCGTCTACTGCTCCCCACTTTACTCCAACCTCCCGCCCTGAGACCACACTGCTGGCTGGCTTGGCCTGTTCTGAGCCCCGTGCCATGCCACCACACCCGGTTGCTTTTGGACCCCAAGATCTCTGCGCCTCTGTGTGGCTTCTCGCCTGGACTCTGGCCCAGCTTCCGTCCTTGTTGGCAGGTGATGGTGGAAGAAGCTCAGTTGCAACAGCTGACGACCCACCACCCCAAGGGTGGGCACAGGCCCCTCTTGGGAAGGCCTGGAAATAGCCCCACGGCCCCCCTCACACGTCTGTCTTTGCTTTATTGCAGTTTTACCGAGTTCTTGGACCCTTTCCAGAGAGTCATCCAGCCGGAAGAGATCTGGCTGTACAAGAACCCGCTGGTGCAGTCCGACAACATCCCCACCCGCCTCATGTTTGTAAGTACCGCAGCCTCCTGCCCGCTAGCTCGCTCCTGAGTGTGAGTCGGGACTTCTCTCTCTGCTCTCTAGGCCCATGGGAGAGAGGGTCAGCTACCCTCTACTGTGATCTCCTGCTTCAGGGAGGAAGGTGGCCTCCCTGGCAGGTTGGGCAGAGAAGGGACGGTTGGCAGGGGCTGTTGGGTGCTTTTCAGCTGCTCACAGCGATAGAGGACTCAGAACTCCTCCTTGAACTTCATTTAGCATAAACCTGGCTATATCCCACTCGGGGAAATAACTGTTAATCCATTTCTGACTCTCTGTGACTCCTGATTGATGCCTGGACCATTACTCTCAGGCCTTGGCATAGCAGAAGAAATACTGATGCTCTCCTCTTGATCTAGAACAAGAACATCTAGATTCTAGGACAAGGATCTCCCTTTTTCAGGGGCAGTCTTAGAGCCTGAACTCCATTCTTATTGACTAGCCTTGTCACATACCTCTGGCAACAGAAACGACCATTTCAGGGGTTTCTTAGAACACATGAGGAATGTTTTTGCACTTTGAAAGAAATCCTTGTCCTCTTAGGGAGGAAACCTTCTTAATTCGGGGTGACTGAAAAGATCCTTCTGTTTATAACCCCCTCCCTCAAAGCCCAGAGACTCTATTAACATGAAAACGTATTATTTCACTTGCATTTTAAGAATTGTTTTCCTGCTTGGAAGTAAATGGAATTTAGCAAACCATGGGGGAGTTAAATGATTTCAGGGTGTTATCTAACACTTTGAGTATGAAAATCAGGGTTTTCTTTTTCTGCTCGCACTTAGATCTTCTCTGAGCTCTCAAAATAAAGGAACCAGTGTGTCTCTAACTAATTTGCTTAGAGACTTTCATAGGAGAATCCCTTTATTTATTGCTTATCTTATTTTTCAAAGATTTTACATTTCACAGGCTCTAAAACCCAATGGTAAGGGAGGATATTGGGAGAAAGTTTGTGCTGCAGTTTAGAGTTGCAAACAATGAATTGTTTTAAAGTCGAGATAGAAATCCACAGATATTCTGGCTCTGGACACAAATGGGATGAAGCCCATTTGCATGTTGGCAGCAATGGAAAAGAGACAAGCAGAGGGTTATTCAGTGCTGATTCTCGGAGAATAGAAGGTTATTCAGCTACAGCTACTGATTCATCCCCTCTAATCTCTCTAATGAGACACGCTCAGCCTTTTGTTTCCTTTATAGTCGTAGTTGATGAATTTCATCTCATCACACAATTTAGTGTAATTTCATAAAAGCATAATGAAGACAGCCAATGCATTTACAGTACCTGCAAGGATGGAAATACTTTGTCATTGTGTAAGTTAGACTTGATCTTCTGGGTTTTTATGAGGAGTTTAGTGTATCATTCCCCTGCTTCCTACTTCAGGTATTTATAAAAGAATTAGTAACAGAAAATATTCTCATTGTGGAAAAAATAGCTTGGTTTCCTTCAAAGGCTCAAAATTCCTTGTTTGAAACCTCAAGGTCTTTGCCTTTGGGTTGGAATGTTTTCATCTAAAGGGGAACTGTTTAACTTTTTAGCCAGAATATGTGTGTGTGTGTGTGTGTGTGTGTGTGTGTGTGCGCGCGCGCGCGCATGTGTGAGTTTATCATTGTATTCATCCACATCTTTCTTGACGGGAAATCAATGTTTCTAGTTTGTATATGCACATATGTTTGTGTATCTGCCCCTGCACATATATGAGGGAAAGAGTATGTGTTTTGGTAGGGTCAATTTGTTAAAAGTCACAAAACCAGTGTCAGAATCCTGGTTAGGGGGTTGAGTGGAGGACAGAGTCAGTGTTGAGGTCACCACAGGAAACCCTCCCTCCTCACACTTCCATTTCAGAATCACTGCGATGCTGTAGTTGGTCTCTTGATTCCCCGATCTTGCCTTTCTGGAATGACTCCAGGCTCCTGTTGACCAGAGAGGCTGACTGGATGCTCTTCAGAGCCCTGAGTCCTGCTTGGTGTTTCCTGGCTATGCCTGGATCACTGGTGGCTTTATAGCAGGTGGCTCCTTCCCAGGAAGAGGCTGTGCTTTCCTCCTGAGCATCTGGGGGTTTGCAGAGCATCTTTGAGTAGATGAGCCACAGTAGTTACTGTCATTTAGTGGCATGAGCTTGGGCACTGTCTCTAGGGTTTGTGTCTTTGTGCATCCAGGAAACACTTCTAGGAGTCTGCTGTGGGTAAGGGAACTCCAAGGGGCTGCAGGTGGCAGGGAGTCAAAACAGGGTCGGGTGCTCCCTCACGGACTCTGCAGGCACTGGGGGACATGGTTGGCTAAAACAAAATGGGAATATGGAAGAGGACAGAGAAAAACTGCATAACCACCACCAGCACAACCACCACCATTACCACCACCACCACTACTACCATTGCCACCACTACCATGACCACCACCACCACCATCACCACAATGACCACTACCATAATCATCACCACCATCATCATCACCACCATCACCATGACCACAACCACCACCATGTCTACCACCACCACCATCAACCTCGTTATCACTCACCACCACTATCATCATCACCACTATCACGAGACCACGATGACCACCACCATCACTGGCACCATTATTACCACCACCATCACCCCTAACCACCATCAGCATCATTATAACTGCCACCATCACCAACATCTCTGCCATCACCACCATCATCACCATCACCAGCTGCCATCACTGCAACCATTATCACCATCAATATAACCACCATCACCATCTACTACTGTCATGACCATCACTCTCATATGACCATTATCGTCTCTACTATTACCACCATCATCACCATTATCAAAAGAGCCACCATCACCACCACTACCACCATCAGTATTACCATCACCACCACCATATTCACCACAATCATCACTGTCCTGGTAGTAACAGCAACCAGCCTCTCTTGAGGACAGGAAGAACGCTTGTCGCCCTTTAAGCATCTCAGTTCGTTCGTCTCAGAATTCCTTTGAGCCTGGCACTTGAGTTGCTTCTTGTTTCTAGTGGAGAATTTGAAATGAAACAGTGCCCATGGTGATGCAACCATCAGTGGCTGGCCCAGGAGTCAGTCCCCGGAGAGCTATGCTGCTGGGATCTGGGATTCTCCCTGGAGACCCAGCTAATAAGAAGTGGTGAGTCACCTGTTACACCCAGAAGGACATGCACAAAGGCACAGACCCAGAAGAACAAGAGCTGTGATAGGGAGGCATGGAAGGAAGAAGTAGACTTGTGGACCAGGCATGCTAGTTCACTGCTGCTGAACTCAGTGACAGTGCAAAGCACCTTCTGTCAGCTGTGCTCTGTGTGGGTAATGCATGCTAAGCTGAGTGTGCATTGGGCTTAATCGTCTAGCCAGGGGACAGGCATGAACACCAGTCAGCTAGCTCAGCATCACAGGGAAGCCCTTGAAGAGCAGGCAAGGCTCCAGTCTGGGACTGAAGGAATAAAAGGTGGGCCCTAAGCTCTTTCCTTGCTTGAAAACAATTTCCCCAGGACTCACGCTTTCCTGATGCCTCTACTGGCACCAGTCAGGAGAGTCCAGAAGCGTAAATACAGTATGCGCCAGACTTTGTCGATTGGGTGCCAGGGCTCCCTATTCCAGAACTGGGTGCTTCTGAGGTCACCGTGGAGCAGAGGACGGAAAGGAAAGAGAACCCGCTGGCTCTGGCGGACTTTAATTTTCAGTCTCTTTGGAAAAGTCCCAGCTGACTTGCTCCTGTCGACAATCTTGATCCATTTACTCCCCACCCACCATTCAGGTATTTTGTGTCTTAACTGTCTTCCGTATCCCTTGCTTCCCTACACCAGAAATCCCAGTTCTTCAGGTGTCTGTTCTGTCTGAGGTGGATACCCAGTGACAGGCTGTTTCCCTTTCTAGCTTCAGCCTCTGCAGCTGTTCGACATGTTCAGCTGCCTCCTATGCACCTGGTGACATGTGGCCCTGAGTTCTCCATTTTCAGGAGCAGCAGATACCCTCCTCCCACCATGAGACCCCATTTTGTATGTAGGATGGTGGTATTTCCTGCATTGGCATCACTGCTGGGTACACAGGGCAGGGGCTGTGGGTCAATGGAGAAGATATCCAGGCCGGATGAGCTCTGCTGTCTTCCAGACTCCTTCTTACATTTTCTTTTCTTTGTTTTTTGGACCACACCTGGCAATACTTGGGGACCACTCTGGGTCTGTGCTTGGGAGTTTCCCCCAGAGGTGGTGGGAGACCAGCCATGCAATGCTGGGGATTGAACGCAGGCCTCTGCTGACAAAGTCTGTGCTCAGATCATTGAGTTTTCTCTTGACTCTGTATTTTCTTTCTTTCTTCTCTTTTTCAATAGATTATCCTCCACCCCCCTTGCATGCTGGGGATCAAAACCAAAACTCATACATGCAAGGCATCTGCTTTGTGTGAGATCCACATCTCTAACCCTCAACCCGGATTCTTGTCTTGTGTGCTTGTTTTTATTTATTTTTATCATAATTATAGTTTAGTCACGTGTTTACCACATGGCTAAGGTTTATGCTTTTGATGGACACAGTAGCTTCACCCCAAGTCCTCTCATCAGTGTTCCTTCCAATCTACTTCTGCATTTTCACCCCATCCTCTCTCCCTCCTCCTGGGTAATCTGAGTTTTGTCATCCGAGATCAGAGGTTTGTCACCATTCCACATTGTCCTCTTTCTTGATTTGTCTCTCTTTATCACAGATGAGTGAGCTCGGCCAGTGTTTGTCCTTTTCTCTTCTGATTTAGTTTGTGTAATATGACGCCCCCTGATTCTAAGTTGTAACAAATTCCAAGATGTCATTTTTTGTGTGACCCCTTTTAGTGTTTCTCTGTATATGTACCACAGCGTCTTTATCTGTTCACCTTTTGGTGGACGTTTGGGTTGTGACCATCCAAGGGCTGTTGTTCTAAGTGCCGCAATGAATATAGGTGTGCATATAGGCTTTGGCATTTGTGCTTTTGTGTTTTAAGAGGAGGTACCCAAAAGAATTGCTGGATCGGGGGGCTGGAACTATAGTACAGCAGGTAGGGTGTTTGCCTTGTATGTGGCCGACCCGGGTTTGATCCCCAGCATCCCATATGGTCCTCTGAGCACCACTAGGAGTAATTCCTTAGTGCAGAGTCAGGAGTAACCCCTGAGCACCACCGGGTGTGACCCCAAAACAAACAGACAAGCAAAAAAGAATTGCAGGGTTCTATGGAAGCCTCTTTGTATTTGAAGAAGGCCACTTCTGAGGCCTTGGAGCCTGGAGCTGAGGGGAAGTGCTTTATTGACATACAACCTGTCACAGGATCCTACTCTGCCCTCATGGTTTGGGCCTTTTGTGAACATTTTCCCTGGGAGATAATAGCCTGGGAGCCACTGGCCAGTGACTCTGCTGCTCACTCTCCACAGGACTCTGTGGCTATAGTACAGCAGGTGGGTGCTTGGCATGGGCTCGAGTGGGCCGCTCAGTCAACCCCTGATTTCCATTTTCTAACTCTGTGGACTGAGGAAATTCCCTCCCCCTCAGGCCTCATTCACTCTGTTAAAGGAGCTTTAACCCACTTCACTCTGGGATGCTGAGAGCATCAATGGAATGAGAGCCTTAGAACCCTGCTTTGGGGTGGGAGAGATAGGACAGCTGCTAAAGTGCTGCCCTTGCATGTGGCTGACCAGGGTTCAGTCTCTGGCATGCACATGATCCCCTCAGCACCTCCAGGTGGTCCCTGAGCACTATTGGGTATAGCCACAAAACCAACCAACCAAACCTAACAAAAAGAAAAATCCCTACTTAGTAAGTACGTGAAACAGAAAATGCTTTCAGGAAAGCTCCCTCACTCCTTTAAATCTGGGCATTAAGACTGCTCTGCCAGGATAATGAACCCAATTTGGGGAGGAGGAAACAGTCTCAGAGGTGAAGAGCTGAAGTGACTTGCTTCAAGTGCCAGAGCTGCTCAGTGTCCAGCCGGGGCTTTGAACCCAGCTCCGCTTCCTCTGAGTCTGTTCCACACATTCCCTTTGACAGACCTCCAACTCCCCCGACTCCCAGTCTGGAGAGGCAGCAGCCCACAAAGCCAGCCATAGCCCGGATCCTGTCTCATGATCCATATCATAGATCTTAGGTTTGTGCTCAGTGGGTGGGTGGGCATTGTAATAAACATTCTCCAGCAGTCCCTTGTGTGTGCAGGTCAGAGCCCCCTTCTCCACATACACCCTTAGCGTGCCCAGACTGTGTACAGGTACCTCATAATCTCTGCAGTATTGTTGGCTGCAGTGGTGTTAGGGACTTCTTGGCCAAGTTCTTCTCCGTGGATGCTGGATAAAAAAAATGAACAATTTACACAATATTCTTTAACACAAGCTCTAGCCCAGCCTCAGCTTCCCAGTCTGTAAAGTGGGGAGGTTAAGTTATGTGCATCTCTGTGACTCAGGACTATAGCCTAGGCAGCCTGGTGTCTGGCATTGGGGGAAACCTGACTGCACTTGCTGTGTGCCTCAGTGTGTTTACTTGGCTCTTTGTCTTATCTACCTGATGGGGTCATGTCTCCATCTTTTAAATGTTTGGGGCCGGGGATGTGGTTTATTGGTCCAAGTGCCAATCTTGCATGCAGGAAGGCTGAATTCCATCTCTAAAACTATGCATGTTAGAGATAAAACAGTGCACTACAGTGAACCTCCATTCGCGCACGCACACACGCGCGCGCGCACACACACACACACTCTTACAGAATTAATAAAGTGTCTTCTAACCATAATTAAGCAGCATATCCTCATTCCTATTAGGAAGGCCTCTCCAAAAATGACTGTGTACTTGAAATCCGGTAGAGGTTGCTAAAAGTGTTAATATTGTTCATCAGTTGTAATTGCCATACCCTGCCCTCAAATCCACTTTGAGACCAGTTGTGGATTTCCGGGGTATCTGGTGCCCTCTGAGAGTGTTATCCCAGGATGTGATGTGAGTAAGGAAGTGACATCAATACCCTTTCCATGGTTGTTAGAATATCGGCAACAGGTGACTAATGAGAGCTTGCTGAATGAAGATGGTATGAGAAGCATTAACCTGACCTCTGAGGCTGGGTCCTCACCAGCTCTGTGTCCACAGGCTCCTCACTGAGTTTCTGAGCCCTGGCAAAGATGGGCACATGGATTGAATCCTCTTGAGCCAAGAGGATTCAAGAGATTGCAGTGCCCGGTGATGTCAAGCATGCTCTTGTTTCCTAGAGGCTTTGTGATAAGTGCTGTGTACATCCAAATCCCACCAGCTTGATTCTTGATTCTACTGCACTGTGCGCTTTGGGCCACGGCAGCAAGTGGGTGGAAGAGAAGAGAAGTTCAGGTGGAAGGAGTCACCCGCGCTTTGCAGGGGAGACAAACATGGAACCAGCCCTCCCGCCAGGGGGGAACGAATGGTGACACTGTGGAGGTACCCGCCCTCTGCCAGGGATGCAACAAGGAAGGAGGTTCCTGACAATGATGAGTCATCATAATTATAGACTCTTCTTTCCTATTTAAAAAAGCCACACTTTCATTGTAGTCCCAGCAATTACAGATCAATTCCAACCCACAGTCATATCTCCAACTTTTCGAGTCTGCGGAGTCTCTTAAGTATAGATGGGAGCTCGCCTTCTTTGTTTGGGGTCAGGAGTGCAGGAAGACCATTCAGCCAGCCAGAGTAAATGAAGCGACTGAAATGAATGCTCATTCAGCCCTCTGAGAGCAGACCACTGTCTTGATAAGGCGTTTTTTTGTTATTTCTTCCAGGCAATTTCTTTCCTCACTCCCTTGGCCGTAATTTGTGTGGTGAAAATTATTCGGCGGACAGACAAGACTGAAATTAAGGAAGCCTTCTTAGGTAGAGTATTTGCTGTTTTTGTGTGAGGGGGTGGCTGAAATTAACCAGATCACTGGATTTAAGATCTCTAGTGTACCTCATCATTTTGCTGCTGGCTGAATAAAATTTGGGAGAAGGTCAACTTTTAAGTTCCCGGCTGGTGAATAGTTTCAGCATGCAAAATAGCTGCTGTCCGTGGTGCTGAATTCGAATTTGCGTACCCTGAGATCCCCACACATAGGTTAGTTCTTGGGAGCTGAAAATTTTGGACCTTAATCTATCCAGATCCCATTTGTGACCAAGAGGTCCACATTACAGAAAATTAAGATGCTGATTAGAGATATTTTGACCAGTCACCATTGACCAGAGGCAAAAAATATGGGCGGAAGCAATAAAAAATAGATTAGAAATTAGAAACCAACCCTGTGGCTCAGCTTCGGTTTGGGATGTTTGGGTTGTTATGCAATGCTGTCAGAGGTGATGTAGGGCTGGAGAGTTGGTTCAAAGGGCTGGAGCATCCCTGGGTTCGATTTCTTGTCTCTCAAGTGCATAGTTCCCCAAACTCTGCCAGGTATGGCTCAGAAAATGAGAATTAAGTCTGCTGCAGTTTTGCCACTGGTTATAACATAGTAGTTGTTTGATTTGGTTTTGAAGCCATACCCAAAGCATTATTTGGGGCTTACTCCTGGCTTTGTGCTCAGGGATCACTCCTGGCAGTTCTTAGGGGATCCATGTGGTGCTGGGGGTTAATTCCAGATTAGCCACATACTAGGCATGTACCCTGTCTGCTGTATTGTCTCTTCACCCCAAGCATGGCCATAACTGCTTGTGATATGGTTTTTTGGGGATGATACGCACAAGAATCAGAGGCTAAGTCAGCAGCAGCAGGAAGAGAGACCACAATGCAGCAACTAAAATGACTGCGGTCATATTTTGAGCTCTTTTATCCTCAGGAAAGTGTGATTTAGTTCATTTGGGTCGGGGGGGGGGGGGGAACAGCTCCCATGCAGGTTATGAAAACCTTACATAACTTTCATTATGCAGATAATTCATTTGGAGTGTAGCTCTCCTTCCCGGAGAAAGGCAGTTCCCCACCGAAGTGTGTGTTTGTGAAGATTAGGCTTTGAAGAGATGAAAAACATAGCAAAAACATAGTCCACCTTCCCTAGACTGGGATGATTCGGGGACAGGAAACATGTCTTATCTAGCCATGTGGTCTGTCTGCTTGGAAAGAATGGAATTTTGCTCCTATTAACTCAAGTACATAACAGGTGTAATCTCTGGGCTGTCTTGTAGATAGCCAAGAGTAATCAGGGAGAAGAGATGGCAGAGTCTGGGGAGACGGCGGGGAATGGGGGCTGGGTTACCAGGACAGAGACCCCTCTGCTTGCTTCTCTCTGGAATCAGCCTTTCTTTCCCCTCCCACTGTCTCCTGCTCACCTGCCTGGAACGTCACCTCTGGTTCACCCTGGGGGCTACTTCTGCTGACCTCGGGGTGATGCTTGTTCTCCAGTGCCTATCACCTCAGTATCCCCATGTCTTCTGTTTAGACCTCTTGGGAGAGATCCTGACCCAGCTACATTTTCATTCTGTGCCCTGGAGTTAGGAGTCTGAGGGCAGCTTGGAGGTCAGAAGCATGTCCCAGATGCTTATGGTGGATTGGGAAGAGACTGTCCCGTGGTCTCCCTCTGGGGGCACAGAAGTTCCCGTTTTCTGAGCAGGCCAGGACTGTCCCTCAGAAAACCTGCATAGCATAGCACAATTATGAGGCTCCCCAAATCCCCACCTTTGGATGCTGATCCTTGATTTTCCTTGCCCTGATCGGCTGGGCATGCAGCCTCATAGTATGTGTCCATGGGGGAGAACTGCTTTCATGGCCATAGAGATAATTGACTGCTGACTTTTGGGGCCAAAGCTGCCGTGGAGACACTAAGACCTTTGCTGTGTCCACTAAATCTCCCTGAGGTAATGTTCCAAGATTGTATACCACAGCTTGCGTCTCACCCTAACGGCGAAGGTGGAGTGGGTGAATGTTCTGTTTGCCTACAGAAATGAGAGTCTGCCCTGTAAAAATGATGAACCGCCTCCCACTGCACTCATTTTTATAAAAACCCACAGCTTTCCAGAAGCTTTGCAGGAGAAGGTGGGTGGGGGTGCATCTCTAAAGGGCTAGGACAGAAAACAAGGTGGAGGTTTTCCATTTTTCCATGGGATCAGGAATTTCAGGATTTCTGATGAGGGGTGGGGGTGAACTCAGGTTTCTGCAGCCAGCCTGGCCCCCAGGGCTGCCCTTGTCTGCAGATCCACGGCAGCTCCCCTGTGCCCTGAGTTAGTGCTGGAGGAACGAGGCTCCCACACAGAGCACGAGGCTGTTAGGGACAGTGGCCGCACTCCCACCAGGTCTGGCAACGAGACCCCTACTTGGGGTGTTCGGTTGTGCTGGGAGCCCCACAGCAGCAGAAGTCACCCCAAAGCTCTCCAGCTCTCCAGCCTTCTAGAAGCATCCGTGGCTGCCATCCAGGCTCGGAAGTTACACACACACACACACACAAACACACACACACACACACACACACACCCCGATTGTCTCTGTGGCCCTTTCTCCGGCCCCCGAGGCCAGGGCAGGCTGTAGGTGGCGCCCTGTGAAGCAGCGTCCCTGAGGCCTTCCTCCACACAACCTACTCTCTGGGGTCAGTCACCCCCCCTGCCCCCACCATTTGTTCCCTGGGGCTTGTGCTATTCAGACGAGAATGATCATTGGTTGTTTTTTTCCTAGAACATGGAGGTGAGTTGCATCTGAAATAGCCTTGCTCCTGATCCCTCCTCTTTTCTTGCTTTTTTATTAAAAAAAAGTATTGGAGGAAGGGGGGCAGGGAAATGCCAACACTGCTCAGGGCTAAATTCTCACTCCATGCTCAGGGATCACTCCTGACAGAACTCAGGGCATCTATGCAGGGCTGGAGATTGAACTGGAGTCGGTTGCATGCAAGACAAGCACCAAGAGCCTGGGTTAGCTCTCCTGCCCTGCCCTGTTACTAGGATTCTTATTTTATGGTGCCTGGAATTAACCCCAGGGCTCTCCCACTGAGCTCCTTCCCCCCCCCCCCCCCCACACACACACACCACGTCCCCTGCTCCCGACTCCTCTGTGCCCTTCAGGCTTTGGGGTCCAAGAGTGAAGGTGGAGATCCCCCACACTGTCTGGTTTTCTAGCTTGGCTGGCTGCTTTGCAGAGAGAAGGGAACAGGGGAGGTGGTTGGGGGGGCTTTAGGAAGCCCCTGGGCAGAAGAGGCAGGTGTGTGTGGTACTCGGGATGGGCGCGGCAGCCTGGAAGGTGCCCAGGGGCTGCCCCATCAGTCAGTGCCTCTGTTCCCGAGAATTCTGCGCTGAGGCTGTACTGGGGGCAGGATGAGAATGAGCCTCCTGGAGCTGCTGACAGGGACAAGCCCTGTCACGGCCACTACTGACAGCTCCGGGGAGAGACAGCCAGGTTCACCCTGGGAATTTTTTCCTCCTGTCTGCGCATAATGCTTTTGGGAGTGTTCCAGGCTTGTGGGAAGCCAGTCTTCGAGACAGGAAAGGGGTCTGTGAAGGTGAAATAAACTCGGGGACTGCCCCAAGGACCATGATCAGCTCCACTAGATACAACCCAGGGGATGGCACACTTGATTGGCAGTGTTTGGGTGCCAGGATTAACACCCTGTGTACCCATGCCCACCTCCCCAACCTTTACTCCCATGCACAGATGCGGCCAGTTGACCCCGCCCACTTTGCGGTGCTTGGTTTCCCTTTGGCTGAGGTCATCAATCAAGTTGGTCCCATCTCATCTCTCTTGTTCACTGCCCATGACTGGTGCTCCTGTGACTGGTCTCCTTGGTGACCTTGGTGAGCTTTCTGTAGATCAAACAGCACTTTAGTCTCCCTTATTGACCATGGACCCCTCCTGACAGCTCCTTCCTGGAAATGAGCCTCCAGGGCGGTTGCCACATCACTCGCAGCTCGCATGGAGCCGCTGGTATGTGACAGTGGGGGCCAGTGGCTCATGCGCTTTACTCTTCAGCAAGAAATGGCCAGGGCCTTGGTGGCTTGTGTGGCCAACAACCTTCCCGCATGCTGGCGTACCTATGCTGCAGCCTTGACAGACACAGGAACAGACAGCGGTCTCTGCAAGAGATATCATGTGGCACATGCCACCGGCACCTTGGGACAGTCTGTGCTTCATCCAGCAAAGTCTCTCCAAGCTGCATGGAGAAAGTTCCCATGCTAAATATTAAAAAAAAAAAACTACACCAAAGGGGCTGGCATGATAGTATAGCGGGTAGGACATTTGCCTTGCACACAGCTGGCCTGAGTTTTATCTCCAGCATGTCACATGGTCCTCTAAGCACCACCAGAAGTGATTTCTGAGTACAGAGTCAGGAGTAGCCCCTGAACATTGTCAGGTATGACCTCCAAACAAACAAACAGACAAACAAAAAAACGGAAAGAAAATTTTTACTAGAGCTGGAGAGATAGTACAAGGGGAAGATGCTTTTCTTGCTTATAGCCAACCCTAATTTCATTCCCAGCGTTGCTTTTGGTCCCCAGAGCATTGCTAGAGTAACTCCTGAGCATGGAGATGAGAATAAGGCCTGGAAACCACTGTGTCTGACCCCCAACCCCCACACTGCTCAATATAAATACCATGTACCAGAAGATCCTGCTGTTTTAAGTGACCAAAAGCACCTCTGGGCAAACTTGTCCCTAACCGGTGACACGAGGGGATTCTTCACCTTCTCGAATTAGGGCTTGGTTTGGCCGCAGCTGGGCAGCTTTTGATGGGCGTTGGATCAATCAGAAAATGTGCCCCAAAGGGTACTTCCATGCCAGGTGAATCCCCGCAGCTGCTTGGGTCAGAATTATGCCTGACAAGAACGCCCTAGAAAATAAGACAAGCTATGGTTCTTGCTACCAATCAGAGAGATTTCTAAAGGGTGTTGTATTAAATCTGTTCCTGCCGGCCAGGAAGTGATCGATGGGCTCCTCTGTGATACTGAAAATCTCAGCTAAGGAGGAGTGATGGATTTCAAGTCACAGGGGCTTGGGATTTTATGAGCCGTTCTCCAAAGTTCAGTCCTAATTATATTTTACTCTAGCTCCCAACAGGCCTTTTGTTTTCTCTGAAGTGTGGGTGATTTCAGTGAATCAGCAGAAACCCCGAGATGGTGGTGAGGACGATGGATCTGATTGGAGAACCGGCTGGTTATTCTTCTGTCTGTTGGTTTTGTCTTGTAGCGGTGTCCTTGGCTCTTGCATTGAACGGCGTCTGCACAAACACTATTAAATTAATAGTGGGAAGGTAAGTTCCAAGAAGAAACTGAAGTGGTTATATCCTGGAGGCCTTCTATGTGTGGGGGTCTTGGCCCCGGGCAGGCTGAGGGCAGGCCTAGATGCCCGTGATCCCTTTCAGTTGCTGCCCCTCTCTGGGTGCTCTGCCCCCCAGGCTCTGTTTTCTTCCCCTTTGATTTCTGATCTCACACTTAGAGAGCGTAGATATGGAGCACAGAAGTGACCCTGAGCATACTCCTGTGGTCCGCAAACTTATGCCTGCTCTAGCCGCTGGTTCCTGGGGTGCACCTGGTAGACATGCTCTTGTTTCATCTCCAAAATTTGTTTTAAGGACCACTTTTGTATCACTCTCTTAAGGATGACAAGTGCGAGCGGGTACTTGAGTTTTTGTACTTGTCCTCTCTCTCACCCCTGGGGAATGATTTCTGCTCGCCAAGCCGCTTGTGTCTTACACTACATTTCTGGGAGTCAGCTTGTCTCTGGCGAGGTCGGAGCTCCTGAATGTGGAACCTGACTTTGGCCCTAACTGCAGGGTGGGTGGGTGGGTGGGTGGGTATGTGTGACAGGACCTTGAACAGTTCTCTCTCCACTTGGAACCTCAATCTTTCCCAACTAGCTCTGCAGTGTGGGAGGCTGCCCATGACCAAGGACACAGAAGATGAGATAGAACAGACAATACATTTCTGGGTCACACTCTCTATCCTGCTTCTAGTCCTGACTGTGGAGGATGCAGTCTGGTCCTGTCTGAGGCTCGGGCTCCGCTGGGGGAACCACTGCATGGGGATTAACCCTATTGGAGTTGGGGGGCTGGAACGATAGCACAGCAGTAGGGCATTTGCTTTGCGTGCAGCCAGCCTGGCCGAGCCAGGTTCGATTCCTCCGCTCCTCTCAGAGAGCCTGGCAAGCCACTGAGAGTATCCCGCCCGCACAGCAAAGCCTGACAAGCTTCCTGTGACGTATTCAATATGCCGAACACAGTAACAAGTCTCAAAATGGAGACGTTACTGGGCCCGCTTGAGCAAATTGATGAACAACGGGAGGGCAGTGTTTGCTTTTGTTTGTTTTGGGAACACAGCACCCAGCCCTCTGATAGGTTCTTGAGGTTGCTTATTGATAGGTTACAGATTCCTGTTGGTGATTTGGGAATTTGGCCTGGATCCCAGAGCTGGTGATCTCAGGCACAGCAAAGGAGCTTCTTGCCTGTGTGGGTGCTTGACCACTGCTCATTGAGCTGCTGAGAGCTGAAGGGCCCTTGTGTATTGACATGCAAATTCTCATGCAAATGAGATGGGAAAGCAAGGCAGGGTGTGGGCTCCTGGCTGATCTGGGTGCTGGGGCTCCAGACTGGTCTTGGCCACTGTGTGTTGGCTGGGTGTGACCTTGGACAGGAATGTCATCTTTCTGGTCCTTCCTTGTCACACCTGCCAAAGGAGAAATTTTCCTGGCTGGCCTCAGAGCTGCTCTAAGCACTGGGGGTACAGTATTTGGTACTCTGTTCCCTGATGGGGCCCCAGAAAATGTTCCCTTGGGCTATGACAAGAAGTAGGGCTTTGGGTCACCTTCCCTGGGGTCTTCTCTGCCACACCTGGAACCAGAGAAGCCTCCTGGGCATCAAAGGCTCTGCCTCAGGGGTCAGAACTGCTATGTTCTGCCTGTGAGGTTGAGACCTGCTCTTTGAGTAGGAGTGAACTCCCCAAATTCAAGATAGAGGGTTGTGAGGAGCCCGGGATGTAGCCTCTGAATTAATGGAGCTGGAGATGGAGGCAGGGACTGCGTTGGACTCTGGAAGCCACATCAGTCCTTGCTCCTGGGTGCCTGGGTGGAACTGAGACTGAGAGGGGCACAGGACCTCAGCAAGGCCACCACAAGGTCATCATGCTCCTGAGCATAGCGCCCAGCTCAGGTCTTTCTGACACCCCCCCCACAAGCCCTGTGTGTCAGTGGCCCAAGGAAGTGGGAGCAGCAGGGAGTGGACGTGGTTGGGGGCAGCGTGGGGCTTGTCTGGGACGTAGCCACTCACAGTGAAAATGTCCATGGTGTCTTTTGTAGACCTCGCCCCGATTTCTTTTACCGCTGCTTTCCAGATGGAGTGATGAACTCAGAAATGCACTGCACGGGGGACCCCGACCTGGTGTCCGAGGGCCGCAAAAGCTTCCCCAGCATCCACTCCTCCTGTAAGTTCAAGGATCACTGGCCTGCTCTCCTGCCCCTTTCTTGGGCACTTCTAGAGGGTCTCTGGGAGGGGAGGGAAACATGCTGGTCCAAGGAAGATGAATGCAATTGGTGGCTGGTTTATCCTTCCCTGGGGGGGGGGGGGTCTTTGCTGAGCACCCCTCAACACCCTGTCTGCAGCCAGCAGCGTGCAGGACGAGCTCTGCAGACAGCTTCACTGGAGAACATGTGACACAGGCTTTGACAGTAACACTGGGGAGTTTACCATGCACCCTGGGGCCCTTCCGCTGTGATCATTTAGGCTAATGCCTTCGGTGGTACTAGTGTGTCTGCAAGCTTGTGCATGTATGTGTGTACCAGATACAGCATATGTGTGTGTGAGTGTGTGTGTGTGTGTGTGTCTGCCTGCCTGGCACACATACCCCAATAGTCTGATTCCAGGACTTTGGCCTGGGACCAGCCTTAAAATAATATAAATCAGGGACTGGGGAGATAATGCCATGGCCTGGGCATGTTCCATATGCACACAGGGCCCAGCCTGGGATCCCTGGCACTATGTGTCACTTTGGCTCTGTGGCAACCCCCAGCACCACTGGCCCAAATGGTGTCACATCCTCAGACCTAGCATTGACCAGTCTGGTTAGCTGAGAGTCACCAGGAATGACCTCGAGTACCTCTGAGAGCTATGTGGGAGCCCGCCCCCATCGTATGAGTCTCATGTTCCATGGTGCAGTAGGAGGGGCATGCATTGGAGGGTGATGGATTCAGAGTCGGCCAGATAGGGATGCTGTGAGATTCTCTCCATCTCCATCCCACAGTGCACACAGGTAGTGATGCCTTAGGTTTGTGGGTGGGTTGAGACCCCAGTGATGTTGGCCACTCTCTTCCTTGCCAGAGTCTTTGGGTGCATTTTGTTGAAGCCACTCAATGTATAGAGAGGCCATAGTATAATTTTCCATGTTGATCCCCCTGGTGAATTATTTCATCCTCATCGGTGCCATCAGTCCTCATTGACAGATGCCAGGCTCTGTGCTGGGTGAGAGGGGCACAGAAGTGGATAAGACTGCCTGTGTCCTGGACACCCAGCATTGGGGGTGGACTGTCTACGTACGCTGGTGATGGGGGTAACTGATGAATAACCATGGCAGTAGGGGAGGTGGAAGGTCTACTTTCATGATCCCAAGTTCTGATTTCCCTCAGTCTGATTATTATTAGCATTTACCTTGGCAAACCTGTCACCTTCCTCTCCCTCACCCCCCACTAACATCTTAGGTATTAATAACCCCTTGATTGTGGCTGGGTCAACACTGTTTTTTTCTGCAAGAGTGATCATTGGACATTCTGCTTAGGGCTCCTAGCAACCAGAGACCCAGACTCCATTCATGAATCTCCACACGAGACCCCTGCTGGGCAGAACTGAGCTCATCTCATGCTAGCGATGGTGACTCGGAGCTTAGGCACATTTATAAGTCTTCAGAGCGAGGGTATTTGGCTGACCTTCACATCAGATTCTCAGACCTTTTGGTGATTGAATACAGTGATGTGTTTGCAAGGCTCATTTACATAAATAATTCCTCCATTTACTGCTCCAGTTTCTTGGGCATGCCAGAGGGCTGAACAGTGCCCCCTTCCCCCAAAGATGGGTCCAAATCTCAGCCCAGGGAATGCTTGATTGTGACTGCATTTGGGAAAAGGGTCTTTGCAGATGCAATTCAGCTAAGCACTTGGAGATGAGGTCGTGCTCCATTTAGGCTGGGCCTAAATCCAATGACAGAGATGCCTGTGGGCAGAGGAGTACTTAAGACACAGAGAGACAAAAGAAGGCCATCTGGGGACAGGAAACCCGGCCCAATGAGCACCTGGAGCCCCCAAAAGCCAAAGGTAGGAGGGATCCTCCTTCTCCTGAGGGCCTTCAGGACCTCACCCTGTATCACCTGGACTTGACTTTGGTCTTCTGGCTCCAGTTAGAGAAGACCATCATTCGTTGTGACTTCTAGGTTTGTGGTCATTGGTAATGGTGGTCCCAAACCCCAAATACAGCACCTTAGACCAAACACTCCCAAGTTAGGGGAGAGGCTTTGACTTTTGAGCCTCAGGAAGACTGAGAGATAAGCACCTGATTGGGCATGAGCCTTGTTCAGCACCTTTGTGGATTAATGAGCACAATGCAGTGAGACATAGGCTCACAGAAAGTCCCAGGCTTCAATCATTCCTGCTGTTTAAACTTCCTCCTGGGGTTTGGCTTTAAGTGAGCATCTGTTTGGGTGGAGCTGTGGGTATGGACTAGAGAAATCACTGCCGCACTGAATTGTGGTCTCTTCCTTGTCAGGGACCCTAGCTGGCATTAGATATGGGAGCCTGAATTGGAGCTCATGGGGGAGTCTGTTCTCTGGTTGTGGCTCTAATGGGTCCCTGACTTCTCTGTGACTTAAAAGAAAAGCAAAATATTGTTGTTTGGGGCCCTGATCTATTTCTCAAAGACTCATGAGCTCTGAGGAGCTTCAAAGAAGAAAACCAGTGAAAAGTCAGAGCCTGTCTGAAAAACTTCCTCCTGACACTTGACAGAGGGCTGCAGTTTAACTGAGTTCTTCCATGGCACTTGAACTCAGGAAAGCCATGGCTCTCCTGGGCAGGACTCAGAGTTGGACACCAGTGGGAGTAATAGCCAGTCGCCCCAAAAGTGTGAAGCACAGATCCCCACCCTCCTGTTCCTGCACTTGCTGTCAGTGGCACATCGCCACCTTGTCAAATGTGTGCTGATGTCAGTCATGCTTGAGAGGCTTCGTGACAGATGCAGTTATGACCATTGACTTCTGAGGCTACTTACCATGTTATAGTCTTGCTGCTTGTCCAGTACAAGCTCCTGTCCTGTCCCGGGCACTGAAGGGGGTGTTCTCATCTCCTCACTCTCACTCTCATGACAGGACAGGGATTTCCTTCATACCCACTTAAGAACACCTCCGTGCTGATGACCAGGTTTCTTATTGTAGCACGAGGAAGCCGTGTGCTTCTCACAGGAGGTGCTGGACCCCAGAGGTGGGACCTCAGCGGACTTCTGTATTGAGACTTATGCTTTTTCCTCCTTCAGTGAAATTTGCTTTATGGGCTGCCAGTGAGTGAGTGCAGACAGGCGTTCCAGATCAGGGCTGTGCTAAGACGCGTTCGCCGGGCTGGCGGAGCATGGGGTTGCCTTTGCTGTTTATCAGCAATGGGTGACCTGGGAGTCGTTCATATTCACATATCTTCCTGCAGAATACTCGGGTGTCTTTGGTTTCTTTGGAAGATGATCTCATTTCAGTCTCCCATCAGCAGCCAGTCAGCACAAACCCCTGGTGCTGGAAACCATCTGCAGATGGACTGACCCCTGGAAACCACAGAGGGGGTCACTCTAAGGCAGCCTAGGCCAGACCTGGATGGAAAGCAGAGATTCCACTCTCAGAAAGCGAGTGGGTGCCTTCAGATTCTGAGAAGCTCAGATTTCACATGGCGAAAGAGCACTGCTTTCCCAGGGTGTTGAGAGCCGGGCTAGTCTGAAAAGGAAACCAAAAATTTTCCCCACATAATCTCAGCATTTGATTGGGTATTGATCCATTGTCTAAAATAGCAAGAGATTAGGTGGTTTGTGCCAAAGCAAACTATGAAGAAACCTCTTTCCTATTAAAATACAAAGAGTGAATAAAAGGTTTTCTGCTCACAGGGGGCCAGCCAAAGTAGCATGTCGGTCGCATCCTGGTTTTGTAACTAAAATTTTGTTGGAATACAGAGATGCCCACTGATTCACTTCCACATGTGGAAGATTTCACTGCATAATGGCAGAATTGACCTTTGTTTTGCAAATCTGTATTTCATATTTTTCAGTTTCAAGAGAGGCTCACAAAATTGAACGTGTGTTGCCTATGCTCCAAATGAAAATTTGAAAGCATAACTATAGGAGTAATAGGATGGATGGTAAGAGCACGGAGGATTTTTAGTGCAAAACTATTCTGTGTGATACAATAATGGTGGACAGATACATTTCACTATGTCTTTGTCCAGACCTATAGATGTTCACTAGCAAGAGTGAAATGTGATGTCAACAGTGAGAATCAGGTGATTAGTACGTCATTAGAAGTTTACCAATTATAACAACTATGAAGAAATATTTCTTAATTGGTGAGCTTCAGTAACTGCTCTTCAGACCTTCAGCCGATTGGTTGAGACTCACCCACTTGACGAGAGCCTTGACTTAAAAGTCAACATAGGTTGAAAGTCAGAAAAAGGCATTAAGTTTATACTTCCAGTGTCAGAAAAGAGACCGTGCCAGTGGCATCGATCAAGTTCATCAAATAGTGGGGCACTCTGATATAGCATAGTGCATAAAATTAGTCATCACACAGTTGCTCCTTTTTTAGCCCTTTAAAAATATCATTATTGTTCTGATGAGTCCAATGCGTTAACTGCATAGGCATCAGCCCTGAGGTGGTCACTGGTCAGTCTTGTTCCAAGGAGCTCACATAGTCCTTGAACAGTCTAAGATCATACATTACTGCATCTTCATAGGCTTAGTGTCTGGGAGCTTTTGCTGAACAAATCTAAATGGGTCTAAACTATGAATTGGGATATTATCACAGGATATTGTTCATGCTTGGGAAGAGCCCCGGCGGGTCTCCCTGTCACCGCCAGGTTCAGTGGAGTTGGGCTGCTTCTGCGCTTGGGACAGTCGATGCCATGGGGCGGACGAAGGAAGAAACGAGGGCCAAGCTGGTTGATGATCAGTTGCTGTTCATTCCATTCTCCTCACGCGCCTGTTTCAGTCTCACTCAACTCCCCATTCTAGTCACACTGCCCCTCATTCCCGTCTCCTCCTGTCTCTCCAGCTCATCTCTCCGTGCTCCATCTCACAGCCGCATCTCTCGTCTCTCCACACACCTGCTCCTGCATCCCCTACACTCTTCTCCCTCCCTGCCCCTTGCTCATCCCTCCACACTCCATCTTGCTACCCAGGTCTCTCTTTCATCTCTCC